TACTATATTGTAGTGGCAAACTCTGCAGGCTCTGAAGTCAGATCATTTGGGGTGTGCCTCAGTTCCCTCACTTGTGAGATGTAGATAACACTAACACCTACTTCTTGTGATGGCTGTGAAGGTGGAATGAGATAATGCACATAAAGTACTCATTACGGCGCCTGGCACAGTGTAATCAACCAATGAACATCAGTTGCTGTGATGATCCCTATCTGCCCGTTCCTGGACCATAACCCACGAGGGTGGAATTACTAAGCACATAGCTTTGAGCTGATGGGACAGCTCTGCTTCTTACTCTCTGCATGTCCTTGGGCAAGTTACTTACCTTCTGAAAAAAAATTTAAAAACAACAACAACTTTATTTGACAATCAGCAGTTAGCTCCTGTCCACATTAAGTGTTTCTAGATTTTTGGAAGTGGTGACAGGTACGCAGGTGACCAGCACATAGAGCTTGTCTGGCGAATCTTCATCCTCCTCCGTCCTCTGGACAAGTGCACCCTGATCGACGTGGGACACTCCTTAGTCCTTCGGCCCAGGCAGCTTTGGTGAGCCGGGTGTCAGTGCGGACATCTGGAGTCCCAGCTCCTTCGTGGCAAGTTTCCGGATCTCCTTGAGTGCCCGAGAGGCCCGCTTCTTGACCCCACTCTGGTCACCGCCTCGTAGATGGCAGAACGGCCCGTCTTACTCCCGCCGCCCTTTGTGGGAGCCACGACGCCGGCCCAAGTTGGAAAGAACTTACCTTCCACTGTCTCTCTGCTCTGGTTTCCTCGCTCACAATAGGGACACACAAGCATCTACGACAGCAGCCTGAATGTTAACCACGACCCCTCAGTGAATGTTTATTCTGCTGCCAATTATTACGTTATAATTTATTATCTGTCTTTATGTATTGTAGCCCCTCCTCATCTTTCCCTCCAAAATTTTATGGGGAGTGGCAGTCATTCACAGCCAGCTCTACTGGGGGTGAATAAAATAGAATTTCTGGATCTGCAGAGTTGATGCCTGGCCTTGACCTGCCCTGAAAGTCATTGTGACCAGTGAGGTCTCGAGTGAGCCAATAAGTAGGATTTGGATGGTGGGGTGCAGAATGGGGAAGGGACAGGGTGTGTGTGTGTGGAGTTTTGAAGTTCATATAGCAGGTTTTAAAAAATGTTTTTATTCTGTCTTAATTCTTATTTTAACAAAGAAATTTGCATCGTTTAAAAAGCCAACTAGTTCTACAAGGCATTTAATGAAAACTAACAGTCCCTGTCCCACTCTTCCACATGATACACACACTCCTACATAAACCACTCTCAAGTTTATTGGCTACTTCTTTTGGCACTTGCCTTTATATTTCTAAATAACATGCTTATATTGTTATTTCTTTTTTATATTTATTTCTTTTTTTAATCTTCACCCAAGGATATTTTTTCCATTGCTTTTCATGGGGGGGGGGACATCAGTGTGAGAGAGACACACCAATTGGTTGCCTCCGGCACATGCCCTGCCCGGGGCCAGGGATGGAGCCTGCAACCGAGATACTTGCCCTTGGTCGGATTCACACCCAGGACCCTTCAGCCCACAGGCAGACGTTCTAACCACTGAGCCAAATCAGCCAGGGCTTCTTTTTCATATTTTAGATATAATCAGTATACTTCCTGTGGTGGAAGATGAAGATATAGTTCTCTCTAATCCTAACTCTCCTAATATGCTTCCTACCCCCACACTCTCAATTAAAATATATTTAAACTTTTAGTTAAATCAATATTCACTCAGTGTTTACATTATTACGCTGTGAAAATATTCTTCACAGCTGAGTTACATAGTGTTTGTACTAAGACTGTAAATCTGTAAAAACTGCTTTCGTTAATTAACATGAAGACATGGGGCTGAGAAACTTCCTTCTCTAGAATCGTAGCCACAAGTTTTGCTACTTGAAATCAGTCAGTGAGAATGGAACACGCCACCCTTGCCTGGAAGTCTGAGCCATGTGGATTACTTTGACACAAAGAAGCAGCCTTGAATTCCAGCCTAGATGCAAAGCCTCAGATAATGGGATTTTGGACACAACTGTAGATTTATCTTAATTATGTAGTTGTCTATTACATAATTATCTAAAATTAATTATCTTAATTTTGTAGTTTCCAAGTGAATCCTCAGTCCACTTCTCAGCCCAGGCTTGCTGTTGATTCCCTCACTTATATCGGTGTTTACCTTGAACCTATCAAAACACTGCTTTATTTAAATCCACCTTTACCATAGCCTATAATGACCCTGTTTTTCCTTTGATGAGCCACTCCATATAGTTCCTCTGGTGTGTGTTCTTTTTTGAGCAGTGATAAATTTAACTCTGTTCAACATACAGTTATGTTCCTACTGGTCTTTACCAAGCAGGCCTTTTATCAATTCTCTTTCCTTCCTTTTATAGCTCTTTATTTTTCCTAAAGTTGATAATTGCTTGACCTTTTATTTTTTATCTTTGTTGTTGAAAGTATTACAGGTGTCCCATTCCCCCCCCCCCATTGACCCCCCCCCCCCCCCCCCCCCCCCCCCCCCCC